GGAGCGAGAAGGAGAGGAAGGAAAGGAATAATTGAAACAAGCAGAACGATAACAGTGTTGTTTTGTTGTTCAAACATTTATTTTTTTCTTCCCACTTTATTTTTTTTTTCTTTTGTTGTTCCATTTTCTTCTCCATTTTTTTTCTAGCATCAAAAACAAGAAGGTTTTTTTTCTTTTTCTTCCACTTCTTCATTCAGTATGTTCACACTCCACAAAACACATGCTTAAACTAAAAAGAGTATAAGCAAAGGAAACTTGCCTTTTTTTATCTTTTCCTTCTTTTTCTTCTTCTTTACGGAAAAAATAAAAAAGTAAAAAAAATAGAAAAATATAAAAAAAATTTTTTTTGTCCACTTCAAGTTTGAAAACCTTTCCAATTTTTCTCATTTAACTTATTTTCGGAAATGCATTCACTGATGTTTGTGTCTGCGTTTATATATTTGTGTGTCGGTGTGTCGGTGTCTGTGTATTTGTGGCTGTATGCCTTATGTTGCGGTTAGGACAATGGCGAAAATTGTTGAAACAACAGCAACGACATTTTTAGGGCAACGCCCAAAAAATTTGAAATCTATCTAAGGATATTGTATATGTATATCCAACCAATTTATATATGGATATTTTTGCAACAACAATAACGAGCCCAGATATGTTTTAGTGAAGTTAAGCTGTCACTGAAGCTTTTTTTTTTTTTTCGCCGTTGTTGTCGTTCACCCCGCTTAGACAACAAATGAATACGTTTTTGGAAGTTGTTTGCTTACTTAGCGGCTTGGTAGTTTTACACTTACACCTTCGTCCCTTTCCCTTAACCAATTATATGCCAACGTATTTCCTTCTCTGTTTTCCTTTCATTTTTGTTCCTTCTTTTTTCTTTTCTCTCATTGCTATTATCATTCTCTTTAGAAATGAATCAACGACAATATATTTTCAACAACCACCGGACACCAATTCTAAGTTCGATCATCTTTATTATATCCCGGGCAAACATTAGTTAGAAGAAAAACAATTTTTGAGTGGCCGTCTCTCATCTGCTATTCTGTTTTAGCAGCAATAAGCCAAAAGCATTTGGTCAAACAAGTGAACGGATGGCGTTTTCAGCAAACGAAACTTTCAATTTTAAAGGCATGTGAAAAAAGAAATAAAAATTGAAGCAAAAAAAAAGTGTGCATCAAGAAACAAAAACACTTGTGGTTGGTAAACTTTTTAAGCCACAATTTCGCTTACGTACTTATACAGGACTATGAGTGAATAAGCAGGCATACAGAGTGATAAGTAGAACGAAAGAAGAAAAATTTTAAAAACAGATACATTTAAGTGGAAAACTACAGAAAAAAGCCGAAGAAGCATTGATTCAAATTTCCTTTTTGCTTATATATACTCGATAAGCCTTTCAACATCTAAATTAGGCTAAGATTATAGGTGATTGAGTGAAAAGTTGTTCTAAAAGTAATGGCTCTTCCTCAGCAACAACGAACTGTTTTCTCCGCTACTTTTTGGTTTTCGTTGTGCCACAACTATCACATCCTTTTAGCTACTGTTACAAGTTAGAGCCAACGAAATAGAAGTGAGTAGAACTGAAAAAAGAGTAGTAATCGTGGTCAAAATGGAAACTTCGGTGAAAGAAATTGGTACAAGTTGGTTAATGCCGTTGCTGAAAAACTTTCAAAACAAAAACCTTTTCAACAGCACCATTAAAAAGGTAAGCGAAGCAGCAAGCGCGAAAAAATTGAAGAAAGAGGAAAAATTAAAAAACTCAAAATGGAGATGTAATCAAACAATTCAGTGTCAGTGTTTAGATTTTTGTGCGGAATCACTTAACTACCAAAAGATTCAAAGAAAAAAAATGAAATAAAATAAAATAAACGAAAAAGAAAAGACACGGCTCTTAACTGATTGATAGTAGAAATCAATTTAACAAGTACATGGCCAATAAAGTTGAGTTTTAATGTCTTTTGGCTACCCATGATGCCATTAATATAGTTTTTTCGCTATCCTCTCTTTCAATCATCGTTATTACCAAATTATTTCAACTGTTAAGAAGGAAAAAAACCATATGCTAATTCAAAAAAAACATAAGCTTATAATATCTGATTCTTCTCAGATGTTATTCAACTTTATTCCTCTTCTCCTATTCTTCTCCTTTACATTCATATTTATCACTTTTGTTGGTTTCTTTTTTTCAAAACGTATACGTAAGATAGTTACCAAGCTCCTTTTTTTTTTTAAATCTAAGTATTATACCAAGAAATTATATAAAATATATATGTATTTCAAAACAAGAAAAAAGCAAGGCAAATTTACTACCAGCATTTAAAGTCTAAACAAACTGATTGAAAAAATGAAAAAACTACAGCACAGATGACTGAGGACGACCGATCCAATGCTAATTGAATAAATATTATTTTCCGGATATACCCC